TACCGGCAGGGCATAGGTGTTAATTGCCCAGACTTTGTTCTTTCCATTCAGCTGACTTCTCAGGACTTGTTTTACTCTCTTCAGGTACTTGGTGGTTGCTGCTTTCCTTGCGGCCTCTTCATGGTTCCCATTTGCCTGCGGGATCCCAAGGTACTTGTAGCTGTCCTCAAGATCTGCTATGTTGCCTTCTGGTAGTACAATCCCCTCAGTTCTGACTACCTTCCCTTTCCTTGTTACCATTCGGCCACACTTATCCAGTCCGAATGACATTCCGATGTCCTGGCTGTAGATCCTAGTGGTGTGGATCAGTGAGTCGATGTCTCGTTCACTCCTGGCATATAACTTGATGTCATCCATGTGGAGGAGGTGGCTGATGGTTGCTCCATTCCGTAGTCGGTATCCGTAACTGCTCTTGGTGATGATCTGGCTGAGGGGGTTCAGCCCTATGCAGAACAGCAGCGGGGACAGAGCATCTCCTTGGTAGATACTGCACTTGACGTTGACTTGTGCAATTGGCTTGAAGTTGGCCTCTAGGGTTGTTTTCTACATTCCCATTGAGTTCTTGATGAAGGCTCTTAGAGTCTTGTCGATGTTGTACAGTTCCAAGCATTCCAGGATCCATGTGTGAGGCATTGAGTCACAGGCTTTCTTGTAGTCAATCAAGGCAGTGCACAGATTGGTGAAGTTAGCATCTTTAATCCGTAGGCGTGGATCATGTCAGGGCCTGGTGCCTTCCAGCTCTTCATACTTGAGACCCTCTCTTGAATGTCTGCCATTGTGATGATTACTGGGTCTTGTGCAGGGAGGTTGCTATGGTCTGTGATCTGCAAACACCTTTCGTGACTCAAGATGAAAACTTCTCAATACCAAGAAGTAACACGAATAGAGAAAGTAAATGTACCCCTGACATAGAGAAGAAACATAGGTTTGATAACAAACCTTTAGTCTTGAATCTACTTTTGGTTTTGTAGAAGTTGTGTGCATCCTTTTCATAACAACAGCCCTCAGTAGCACAGGAATAGATTGGCTGATCAAAATGGGTAGTGACAGACGGAGAAAAGACAAATAGAAACACTGAGACTGCTGTAACAGATTTCTGGAATATAAAGTGCGTAAACACTGATCATTTGGCACTTATGAAGGGGACAACATAAAATACTTTTCTTATTGATTTCTATTTTGATACAGACTTTTGAATGATGATTTTTAGCTGCTGCATCCTTCTGTCTGTTGCAGGACCCACAATGATGACCAGAGAAACCACATGTAAACATGTAACTGTATCTCTCTCTCTCACATGCACACAAGCACACCGACACATAGACAGACACACACACCAGTCAGGCCTCGTCCCAGCAGCAACAGATGCCAGATGACACAGCTCATTAACTTCTCCTTTCTCCTATTCTTTTGGCTCCTCATTGTCTTGAGATATGAGATGAGCCTTTGTTGAGAGTTGGTTTGTCTTCTAAAATTTGTGCTCTCTTCTAA